TAAAGAACGACTGTTAGAGAAAAAAGGAGCTGGGATGTGATTGTTATGGAAATGTTTAGCTTCTCCAGATTTCAAATGACAACAAGATTAGGGCACAGCAAAGATGAAACCTAGGGTGAGGTCCAGAGATAAAGCCATGAGTGTAACTGTAAGACCTTTTGTGACGATCAGAAAAGCCGAGGGTGGGGCCTGTCCGGCCAGACGAGAGGCCCCCCAGAGAAACCGAGGATGTGCTTCAGAGACACCCTCCATCAGACTACAAGGCTTCCAGGGTGCTCGCGGGCATCGGCCCCCAACTGCCTCTGCAGAACCCTGAGGTAGCGAAGGGCTTACCCCATAGAGGTTTGTGGTGTGACTTTTGACTAACACAGAGAACACTGAGAAAATTGATGGGAAACCCACAAAGTTTTTAAAGGAATTATACATGTAGACGCATCACCAGCTGGGACTAAAAGAGACAGAAACAGCACAAAATGAAAATAGGCCATTGGACCCCAGCAATTCTACTGGCAAGAAACCACCCAAGAAAAGTATTCAATGAAGACACACGCTGTCATTCACGGAGAGAAAGACCGGCTCAGAGAGAGGGGCCAGGAGCCCAGAGCCTTGAGGAAGGATTCCCCGGGCTTGCGAGCTCACCAAGGAGCTTCCGACATGGTTCTGCCGGCACTTCAGAGTGGCTGTGGGCCATGCACTCCCCTGTGGCTCCCAATATCTCCCCTTCTCAACAGGAACGTCAGTGCTGATCAGGGGATGCCTGTCCCGCCATTGTGAGCTGGGTGCGTGTGGTGTGGGGAGGCGTTAGGAACTAAACTTTGTCTCCCCCAAAATGCATATGTTAAATTCCTGAGAACCAGCACACCTCAGAATGTGGCTGTATTTGGAGATAGGACCTTTAAACAGGTAACTAAGGTAAAATGAGGTCATAAGGGTTGGGTCCCAATCCAATGGGACTGGTGTCTTCATAAGAAGACGAAGAGACAGCGGGGACATCCACACAGAGGAAAGGCCGTGGGAGGCCACAGGAGGAGACAGCGGGGACACACACACAGAGGGAAGGCCGTGGGAGGACACAGGAGGAGACAGCGGGGACATCCACACAGAGGGAAGGCCGTGGGAGGACACGGGAGGAGACAGCGGGGACACACACACAGAGGGAAGGCCGTGGGAGGACACAAGAGGAGACAGCGGGGACACACACACAGAGGGAAGGCCGTGGGAGGTCACGGGAGGAGACAGCGGGGACACACACACAGAGGGAAGGCCGTGGGAGGACACGGGAGGAGACAGCGGGGACATCCACACAGAGGGAAGGCCGTGGGAGGTCACGGGAGGAGACAGCGGGGACATTCACAAAGAGGGAAGGCCGTGGGAGGTCATGGGAGGAGACAGCGGGGACGCCCACACAGAGGGAAGGCCGTGGGAGGACATGGGAGGAGACAGCGGGGACACTCACACAGAGGGAAGGCCGTGGGAGGACACGGGAGGAGCTGCCCTCTGCGAGCACCTCCAAGGAGAAACCCACTCTGCCGACACCTCGATCTGAGACTTGCAGCCGCCAGAGCTGGGAGAGGATAAATGTCTCTTGTTCAGCCGCCCTGTCCGTCCGTAGTGTCCTGTTATGGCAGCCCTGGCACGCTGATCCGGAGGGAGGCCAGAGAACTCGACTCTTCAGTGCCATGGGCCTAAAGGGCAGGAGGACTGTCCTCAAGGAGCTGGGCTTAAGGAAGGGCTGCGGAAGAGTCACTTCGACACCTGGTTTTGGTGACAAGCCTCTGATGCTGCAGTCGGACGTGATTTCAATACCAAATATATACCCATGACTCCAAAATTTTTATCTCTCACTTACACCTTTCCTTTGAACTCCAGCACCCTGCATGATATTGCCATGTTGGTGTCCTGGAGACACTAAACCCAAGCTTATGTCACTCCCCCAAACCCGGTCTTCTCTGGCACCCCCTTTCCTACACCTGACCCGCCCTCCGCCTCACCTGCCTTTTCCAGCCGGTCCCCTCTGCGGCACTGTGTGGTCTGGCGCACCCGCTCCCCGGGCCCCCTGCCCAGCTCTNCGCGACACTGAGGGTTGCGATCCCGTTGCCGGTCACGAAAAAAGACAAAAAGGAAAAAAATTAAAAAGAAAGAAAAAGGTGGAAAATTTGACCAGCGAGCAGGGTGATGTGGCTGAGCAGATTTCCAGCTGAGTGTTGAAAGTGCTGCCTGGTTCCTTCCGCTGCTTGTAGTAAAATGCAACACGAGGGAGATAAACTAAAGAACGACTGTTAGAGAAAAAAGGAGCTGGGATGTGATTGTTATGGAAATGTTTAGCTTCTCCAGATTTCAAATGACAACAAGATTAGGGCACAGCAAAGATGAAACCTAGGGTGAGGTCCAGAGATAAAGCCATGAGTGTAACTGTAAGACCTTTTGTGACGATCAGAAAAGCCGAGGGTGGGGCCTGTCCGGCCAGACGAGAGGCCCCCCAGAGAAACCGAGGATGTGCTTCAGAGACACCCTCCATCAGACTACAAGGCTTCCAGGGTGCTCGCGGGCATCGGCCCCCAACTGCCTCTGCAGAACCCTGAGGTAGCGAAGGGCTTACCCCATAGAGGTTTGTGGTGTGACTTTTGACTAACACAGAGAACACTGAGAAAATTGATGGGAAACCCACAAAGTTTTTAAAGGAATTATACATGTAGACGCATCACCAGCTGGGACTAAAAGAGACAGAAACAGCACAAAATGAAAATAGGCCATTGGACCCCAGCAATTCTACTGGCAAGAAACCACCCAAGAAAAGTATTCAATGAAGACACACGCTGTCATTCACGGAGAGAAAGACCGGCTCAGAGAGAGGGGCCAGGAGCCCAGAGCCTTGAGGAAGGATTCCCCGGGCTTGCGAGCTCACCAAGGAGCTTCCGACATGGTTCTGCCGGCACTTCAGAGTGGCTGTGGGCCATGCACTCCCCTGTGGCTCCCAATATCTCCCCTTCTCAACAGGAACGTCAGTGCTGATCAGGGGATGCCTGTCCCGCCATTGTGAGCTGGGTGCGTGTGGTGTGGGGAGGCGTTAGGAACTAAACTTTGTCTCCCCCAAAATGCATATGTTAAATTCCTGAGAACCAGCACACCTCAGAATGTGGCTGTATTTGGAGATAGGACCTTTAAACAGGTAACTAAGGTAAAATGAGGTCATAAGGGTTGGGTCCCAATCCAATGGGACTGGTGTCTTCATAAGAAGACGAAGAGACAGCGGGGACATCCACACAGAGGAAAGGCCGTGGGAGGCCACAGGAGGAGACAGCGGGGACACACACACAGAGGGAAGGCCGTGGGAGGACACAGGAGGAGACAGCGGGGACGCCCACACAGAGGGAAGGCCGTGGGAGGACATGGGAGGAGACAGCGGGGACATCCACACAGAGGGAAGGCCGTGGGAGGACACAGGAGGAGACAGCGGGGACACACACACAGAGGGAAGGCCGTGGGAGGACACAAGAGGAGACAGCGGGGACACACACACAGAGGGAAGGCCGTGGGAGGACACAAGAGGAGACAGCGGGGACACACACACAGAGGGAAGGCCGTGGGAGGACACAAGAGGAGACAGCGGGGACACACACACAGAGGGAAGGCCGTGGGAGGACACGGGAGGAGACAGCGGGGACACTCACACACACAGAGGGAAGGCCGTGGGAGGACACGGGAGGAGACAGCGGGGACACACACACAGAGGGAAGGCCGTGGGAGGACACGGGAGGAGACAGCGGGGACACACACACAGAGGGAAGGCCGTGGGAGGACATGGGAGGAGACAGCAGGGACACACACTCACACAGAGGGAAGGCCGTGGGAGGACACGGGAGGAGACAGCGGGGATGCCCACACAGAGGGAAGGCCGTGGGAGGACACAGGAGGAGCTGCCGTCTGCGAGCACCTCCAAGGAGAAACCCACTCTGCCGACACCTCGATCTGAGACTTGCAGCCGCCCAAGCTGGGAGAGGATAAATGTCTCTTGTTCAGCCGCCCTGTCCGTCCGTAGTGTCCTGTTATGGCAGCCCTGGCACGCTGATCCGGAGGGAGGCCAGAGAACTCGACTCTTCAGTGCCATGGGCCTAAAGGGCAGGAGGACTGTCCTCAAGGAGCTGGGCTTAAGGAAGGGCTGCGGAAGAGTCACTTCGACACCTGGTTTTGGTGACAAGCCTCTGATGCTGCAGTCGGACGTGATTTCAATACCAAATATATACCCATGACTCCAAAATTTTTATCTCTCACTTACACCTTTCCTTTGAACTCCAGCACCCTGCATGATATTGCCATGTTGGTGTCCTGGAGACACTAAACCCAAGCTTATGTCATTCCCCCAAACCCGGTCTTCTCTGGCACCCCCTTTCCTACACCTGACCCGCCCTCCGCCTCACCTGCCTTTTCCAGCCGGTCCCCTCTGCGGCACTGTGTGGTCTGGCGCACCCGCTCCCCGGGCCCCCTGCCCAGCTCTCCCCCAGCCTTAAACGCTCCTCTGGCACTGGCGCCCCTGACCTCCTGGAGAAGCCAATTCCTCTCACTCGGGGTCTTTCCAAAGTTATTTCCTCTTCCCGGGATGCCCTGCTCCCCAGCTCCGCCACGACTTACTTACCTCCCACCACCCGCACGTCTCAGCTTGAACGTCCCTTCCTGCAGGAAGCCCTCCCGACCCCTCTTCCCCCGATGGAAGGGTCAGGCCTGCTGCTGCTGGCTCCTGCTGTCCTCCCTGGATGTCTCTCTCAGGGTGTGCGATTGTACGTCAGGCAGGTCATGGTGTGTGTGTCTGCCTCTCCCAACAGGGCATCAGTCCCAGAACCGCACCTGCCGCCTTTTGCTCTCTGCTCCAGCCCTGCAAGTGCAGTGCCTGACACACAGTGGGTGCGTGACATTGGGTGGACAAGTGAATGGCTTCCCCAGAAAGTGCAGGAAGTCTAGGAACACAGAAGTGGTGGCGTGAAGAGAAGGCACACGGCAAGGACTGTGGTGGACGGGCCTGTGGTCTATTTCGCAGCAGACAAGTCACGGCACATCCTGCAGTGTCCTTGGGAGGACACAGGGGCGGGGCCTGGTGCAGCGTCTCCCTGCCCAGGCAGCGCGCACCCTCCTTCCCCCGCCCCTCTGCCACTCTACGGGACCCCTCCTGGGCTGGCCACCTGAGTTTCACACCGTCCATGCGCTGGGGTCACCAAACGCCTCCCAACAAGCCATTGACTGTGAAGACCTGGCCTCCGGGACAACGCTCCTGGGGTCTGTGAGGACGCTGGCTCTCAGGGCAGAATGGTGTGCGCACAGGAAGCTGCGGGAGAGGACGGAGGCCTGAGAGGGCTGGCCGCTCTGGGGCCACCGTGGATGCGCTTGCAGGGGGCTCCCTGGTTGTGGGTGTGCTCGTCCTGGGCACTGTGGAGGACAGGGCCACACAGCCCCCAGTCCTGCAGCCACAGCCACGGTGTCACCTGGTGGGGTGGAGCATTTGCATTCTGGGAGCAAGGCCCACCAGGGTGGGGACACACATGCAGGGAGGCTTTGAGGTGGCCTCAGGTCTATCCTGTCCCCTTCTGCCACACTCGTCAGCTGTCTAACAGGACGGGCAGGCGGGGCCGGAAAAGCAACCACTCAGAGGTCATAGTTTACCATCTTTGGGGAGAATGGTGAGGTCCTTGCTCAGCTCCAGAGTTTCACACGTGTCCACAAACTCCCTCAGACTCTGGAAGGTCGACACGTTCTGCCTGCCTGGCGATGGGTCAGAGCCACAGCGTCAGACTCCAGCGCCGGCCTCTGCCAGCTGCGCCCGTCCTCTGAGCTTGTGGGTGGGGAATCAAGGGGTCACCAGGGAAGGACGGCGATGGGGGGCCACAGGAAGAGCCTCTCACCACCCCCCACTCCCGTTCCAAGGCGGCGAGGCTCAGAGGCAGGGGTCACCGCAGGGTGTCACTTGGAAGCCCCCACCGGTCTCTCAGCCTGTCCCCGGCCTGCTGCTCTCCTGAGCTTGCCCACCTCCTTCCCCGAGCCTGGGAGGGGGCTCCTGTCGCTTACCCCACACCCCCCCATCCAGGCAGACCCTGCCCGGCACCCCCCCACACACCTTCTCCTGTCCCTGTGGCATCTGCCCGCCACGCTGCCACCTGTGGAGCCCGCATCCGCCGTCATCCTGGGTGGCCCCCACCCTGCAGTCTCTCACTTCCTGACCTCCCCATAGTGGCCGCCCCACTCTTCCCTGCAGTGGCCACCTCTGCGCCCTGCCGCTGTGGTCACGACTTCCGCCACCCACACCTGACCACCCGCCGTCCCCGCCGGGCACACGCGCCTGCCA